CTTTCCTCCCCTGAAATAGCTTACCAGTAGTAAAGAAGCTGAGATTTCAAACAGAAAATCTACTAGGGTTGAAATCAAAATAAAAAAACCTACAGCATCATTTTAAAATTATGGTATAAAATATCTGAAACACAGAAAACAAACAGGGCTGATGCTGAAAAGGTGCCTGGATCAGCTCCTTTCCCAAAACCTTAATACATTTGCAATTATCTCATCCGTCTTTGCTTTGCCAAAATGTTTTGGGGTTTTTTTTTTTTAAATCACAGCAAAACTAAATCCTAAGTATATACATTTGCAAAGGATATTACACCTATATTATCCTATTATCACCCATACTACATATTTGTCTTAATTAAGATATCAAAAATATTATCGTATTGTAATTAGTAACCTTTATATATCTTAATAAGAATCTTTTTAGCTACAAAAGAGGTTTTTGCTATGTCGAATCTTTAGTGGATAGTCAAGGAGTAAAACTGATTTCTGTATAAGGAAATGTATTGAGAGAAAATATATGTTTCATCTTATACATTTATATTATGTAATATAATTAATAAATAGTCACTTAGATTCAACTCAGATTTATCTAAGAGGTAACAGTCACTCTTTATTGGATTATGCAATATTATTAATGTACTTGTTTGATGGTTTTTTGAATTACTCACAGTCTATGACGACTAGGCTAATAGAATTTATGGATTCAGAGTCGAAGGTCTTAATGAAAATCCTCTGCCTGGTAAGCAGTTCTATTGATCACTTTGAGCTCTAGTTTTAAGCAGGGCTAATTGATCAATCAACACAATTTGCTTTGAATAAATGGATCATGATTGGTATGTCCACCAGCAGCTTTCTCCTTCCAAGAAATACCTACCTTCAAATAGTATTTAAGTATAACCAATATATGGAATTTCCAAACTTTTTTTTTTCTTTTTTGCATAATTTATCATGCATGGTATTCTATAGTTGGCCCAGAATGATGTTGCTCCCTGTTCATTTTATAAATTATTATAAAGTTTGGACATCCGCTATAAAGCATAGAACCAGTGGCATCTGGTGAAAAATATTCTTGGTGGGACTGATGTAAAAATGCATTTTTATCTACCTATACCAATTTATATATGAAATAGAATCAACAATGACATAACAAATAAATTGAATAGTGACAATTTAATCTCCTTCTTAAAGTGTCCATTTTTCACAGATAACATAAATGAACAATTTTTATTTGTTTAATTCACCATAATTCTACATGCAGAAATACAATATTCAACAACAATGCCCAGTAGGATGAAGAAAATCTATTAAAAAAAAAATCAACAGTTTCCCAGGTTAGAATTATAATTGTTGTTATTATAATGATTGATATTGCAAATAATTCACAATAATTCACTTTCTTAACAGTACTTAATATGTTATATATATTATAACCATATTTTTAATTTCTGAAATTGTATAAGTTACCAAATGCACTATGATCAAAAATAAAGAAAAGGTGTAAAACAATATTTATAGATGAATTTTAAACATGAAGTAAAGTTACAATTTTTGCCATTTTAATGCTTTCTGTATAGCATTTTGGCAACGTTGCAGGTTTTATTTTTCAAAGTATGCTATATCTTCAACTTGAAATAGTGCGGTTTACTCCACTGTCTGAAGGGAATTTTTACTTTTAAATTACACTGATCTTACATTTTTTTCTTTTTTTTTTCCTAGCTTTTTAGTACAGAGCAACAAACTGAACTCTCTGCATTTAACCCATCCCCTTGGGGAGCAGTGAGGTGCCATTGTGCAGTGCACGGGGCGCAGTGTGGGGCTTAAGGGTCTTTGCTCAGGGACCCAGAGTGACAGTATGTGGGAGTGGGGCTTGAACTCAAAACCTCTGGATTCCATGCGCAATTCCCTAACCAATAGGCTGCCACTCCTCTAATCAGCATGTCATCTAGGTAAATAAAGATATAGATGATCCAAGCCAAGTCCACAAGGGATGATATAGAGGATGATTAGAGAGAGTGCATATATAAAAAATATTTAAAGGAAAACTTACAGTAACTTTTTCTTCTCCCTCCAGATGTCATCTAGATGCCACCCCATTTGTCTTTTTATTAAGGTTCTGATCCTTAGATGTTAATTGGTAGTAATGTCTATGTTCTAGTTCTATATCACTTGATAATCATCATTTCCCCCAGTGGTCTGGTGCACTTTTATCATGTGAGACAATGAGTAAAGCTTTTCTGAACTTGAACTTTAAAAAATAAAATAAAAAAAATTGTCCGATTTTTCTAACTTTGGAGTTTGCAGGACCTTTTGAAATTGCTGCGAAATTATGTATTCACACAGGCATAAAAAATTGGATGGCATTAGTCTTAGACTAGGAAACAAACTTTGCCCTCTTTGAATATTGTTTCATCTCACTAGCTCATCAATACAGCAAATGGTTGCATAGATAAAAAAGAAAGGCTCGAGAGAGATCAATCAATCAGTCAATGGAAAAAACATAAAAAATGTGATGTCACCCCACATTGCAGCAGGGGATGAAAATTTTAATTAAGGCTGCTTTTTTTTCCTTTAATCTAGTTTGGGGAAAATGATTACTTGGTAATAAACCTAAGAAACTTGGGCTTACTTTGTTATAATGAGCTTCAAGAATCAACACTTTCATCAAGACAGATACCATAGATAGCTTTGAATTTACATGTTACTCTCTGGGACAGTCAACAAACAAAAAATTGAGATGCTTTTAAAACATTTTTCCAATTTTACCTGTCTCTCTATGAGTGTTGCTGATGCATAAGACACAACTAGAGCTCCTGCCAGGAGGGACTTATACACAGACCAAAACAGGAAGGCCAACCACACACAATCACATCCCCACATGCAGCTTCAAATCCCTCCCTCTGAATGACGGACATGCTGACTGACCACTTGTGACTCCACAGGGGCTTTGTTTCCAGTCTGCATAAGGGTGGACTGGATATTCCAGCTGGCCTGTCTTGGGACTCCCAATCGCGTGTGAACTGAACTCAGAGGGAGTTGTGGCTAACAGGTCCAACGCTGAAACACTTCACAGGATGAAAAGGTCAGCTGGGGTGAGTTCAGCTGGGTAAACCAGGAATAGTTTTCCTTATTGCTTAGTGGATTGTTTTTAATAACCCTCTGCTCATAGGAGATGCTATTGTTAGTACTCCACTTCAGACAAACACAATAAAAGATAAAGTAATAATTTTACCTATTTTGACAAAATAATAACACTAAAATTATATCAAACACAGCTGCTAATGAATTTCCAAAAGCACACACTTAAGTCACATTAAGAAGAAATAATATAAATCTGTTCTTATTAGCAAACATGAAAATACAAATAATATATATAATAAAAATAACCAATTAACAACATCTATGCAATGCTTCAATACTTTATGTTATCCAGATATCAACTTCTTATCATTATCCATCTGTAGCCATATTCTTGTTGAAACACCAAATCATCCCCACCTCCAAGCGTTCACTTAACCTTGACCAACTAACCAGCAAAATAGATATACGTCTGACCCGGCTGTCCTAATTGCAGACTGTTTGGAATGAGATCACACTTCCACCCAACAACCCCGGGTGTGAACTTAATTGTGTACACTCAGGTATTGGATTTCAGGCTGTGTCAGAATCTAACAGCAAACGAAGAAAAACAGACAGAGTGAACTTGACAATGAAAGAGAGTGCGACAGTGTAAGAAGAGAGAGTGTGAGGCGCAGACCACCCAACAGCTGCAAAGGAAAACAAAGCCGGCTCTGCCAGAGAACAGACTCGAATCCGATCGGTCGGAAGTAGGACAATTGAAAGCTGTTGTGTGATAGCTGTTTGCCAAGATAAAACAAAACTAATAGAGAGTGTAGAAGAAGGACTGGAAGCCTCATCTAATATGTTTTACAAGTTAGTTCTTAGCTTTCCACAGCATAGTAGAAACAGTTCTTCAAAATAATAACATAGAAAAAAAATCCCATACGTTTATCTTATGTAATGAAAGCAAAGCCTTTTAACATTCAATGGCAATATAAAAAATACTCTATAAGGGAAATGCACTACTGTATTAACCTTATGAGAAGTTCTTTTAGTGATGGCCACAAGGGGAATTAATTTGTGTTTAATTTTGCAGCTGGTATCTGGATGCTTGATTTATTTCACAGATGAGACACAGTTAAGATTGGAACGCATGTGTCAGAGGTCTAAAGGAAGCTTTGACCTGAAAGTTTGTTTTTTGTTTGATTGTGGTCTACAAAAATATGATAAAGCTAGCACTGAAATTTATATATTGTGAAGTTTATTTTAATATATTTTCACCGCAACAAAATGCATAGATTCCTGTCTATCAAGCTTGATTTTAGAAACACATTAAAGATTTTAATGTTCTTGCTCCCTTACATAAAATGAATGTTTTTTCACACAGTTGCTCAGTTTAAAGGCATATGTTGGACACTTTGTAATATGGTGTTAAAAGCTCAACTATACTTAATAAATAAATAAACAATGGAAGGAGACACAATACATTTCTATGTGGGTTGGGCCGAATTGTGTGGATGCTTTGTGCTCTTGGTTTGTGGCACCGGGTGAAAAATTCCATTATTTCCTTTATTAGTGTTTCTCTGTCAAACTGATCCTTGAAATTAAACCCTTTCTTTAGTTATGTATAATTAAAAATAGTTTATTTTTAGCTTGTCTAAAATCTTATGGACTTCTTTGTACAGTTTACCAACTATTTGTACTTGGAGACAAGTTAATCATCAGAAAATGCAAAAACAAAATCCAGCTTTTTGTGGTAAACCAGTAAGAGAATGGATATTTCTCTAAGCACTTTTACCGATCAGTTAATTTTCCAAATCTCAAAATATGAATTTGCCCAAAAGGAATGTATCTAAAGTTGGCATCTACCTGCGAAAAGTGTTTTATCTTTCCTATAATCATCCATAATGTTACGACGGGATGTTTATGCATGAAAAGACAGTTACCTTCTTTTCCAGCTGAGAGGATGTGAAGGTTTGTAGCAGGGATTTTTCCTCAGGACAAGGGCTGGTTAATTGACCTAAAGAAGATCAGTACAGACAATCTTAGCACTTAAAATCTCTGGGTTAACATTTTTTTTTCACAAACATTAACAAAATTTGCCATAATGTAGAAAAAAAAAACATACCACTAAAGTACAATTATGTAATGATATCATATAAAAAAAAATCTACATGCAGAAAATAAAAAAGAACAACCTAAGTAAAACATTTAGAGAAAATTGAATAAGAATATAAACATTTTCACCCAGAAAACAGAGACACCTCTAAGATTTAGAAGCATAAATTTATCCAAACCTCTTCTGTTTGCATGAACAATTAATAAATTCAAATGTTTTGGGTTTTTTCAAGACTTTTTAATATTTTTCTAATAAGTTGAATGGGTGAAGTTAGTCATTTTCCCAAAGATCTCATGTTTTAGCTTAAACAACAGGTAAAAGAAGTCACAATGCTGTTTGATTGGAGCTCTGATTTGTTTGATACAGAATGGCCATGTTTTAAAATTGCATATGGGTTTGGTTATTCTAAATACAAAAACCAGGGAAAACAAAAATAAACATAAAGGGGAATTATATACATATTATAGACATATTTCAATCTTCAAACATTTTATCTTTATTATTTGTTATTAATTAATCCACCTCATCTGATTGCCAACTGTCATGTCTCTTTCTTTTAGTTCAAGCAAGTGATGGCTGTATGACACCAGTGTACTAAATGATCTTTGTGGACGACTTCTGATTTGAACAGCAAAAACAATCGCCCTCTGCCTATGCACGACACCTGCCCACCCAACCCACCTTTAACACTCGCATCTACACACATAACGCAACGTCTTCATTTGTCTCTGTCTCATTTATATGGAAGAGGGCAGAAGGGAGGATGGCTAGTCCACAGCAGAGAGGTCAACATGCTGAAGGAGTTCATCACTCTGAGATGTCAGAGGTGGAAATGTGACGAGGCAGTACAGCATTTTTTGATTCAAAACAGTTTGGAAAATAAAAAGCTGAAAGATAAAAAAAACTGAAACTGATTATTTTGTCATTAAATCTAATAAATGATTTAAAATAATTCAAAACTCCATAAGAAGGTGCAACTAATAAAGGTAAGACATATTGTATGCACCATATTTCTGTTTACTGGTTTTGACAGAAAGAAGAGAGAAGAAGGCTAGAAATTCATATTACTTCCATGAGATAACTCCACCAGTATAGTAAAGACTCCAAACAAAAAGGATTAACTCTCTGCCACGACATGTTTATATGATTTAAGGTTTTTTAAAGTGTTGACATAAATAAATAGGCCTAAACAAAAGTAGAGGTCTGATTTTTTATTTTTTATTTTGGATTAATCACACCTTCACCATACAGTACCTACTAGGATCTAGAGTTAGGTAAACATCTCATAAAAGTTTCAAATCTTGATGAATTTTTTGTGACAATGATTCAGATTTTTTTTTCTTAACTTTAAATGGCCCTTTGGAAGTCCATTACGTTGCACTGGATGTACCAGCTTCTTAACTAAAAAAAGGAATAAGGTCCAGACAATTGTGTCTGAATTTGCTTACATTTCTTTATAACAGAAGCCTGTAACTATTTCTGTTGGTGGGATTCAAATGGGTTAATCTTCTTTAAATTAAATTAAATTGAAAATTATTTTTTGATAGTGGGAAACCTTAGGAAGTAGGCCATAAATAAAGACTCACCAAACCACTTGAAAGGAAAATAACAATGAAACATAGGCGATAGAGACATAAAATAGCGATCAGTGTCAATTTAATTAGGATATATATTAGGATACTATGATAAACTCACAGAGCACAGGTAAAAAATAATTTTATTGTATACATGAAAACCTACTACTTCGTATGAAATCAGAGTTTCAGAGGAAATGCTTAAATACAAATGTTTTATGAAAGAAAACGGTGGCATTGGAGGTAATGGGTGCAGTGAGAAAGTTGGGTAAAGGAAGTTTTCACTCCTTTCTTCCCAGTCTGCCCCTGGCCTTTCCAACTTCCAGTCACATGCTGAAAGAAGCCAGATACAAGCAAGGTAATCACCAGCTAATAAGAAGCTATATTGAAAACAGACAGCTGGTCAAACATAACAAGCTTCAAAGATTCATGCACGTATTTGTACACACACAATAACATTGACAACTAAATGCATGATCACACACAAAGATGTGTAATTGGAGTGCTGTGCATGGCAAAGTACTTCAGAGCAGAACAATCATTGAAAATCGGTAAAAATATCGAAAAGCACATGTGCAAGAACCAACAAAATACACTGCCTCCTACCAGACCCAGATCATTTTTCTACCCCTGACTTTAGCCCTTTGCCACCATCATAGCAAAGTGCAAGCATATGAAAATGAAATATCAGTAATTTCATAGTAATCAGAGATGGGAAGTAACGAAGTACAAATACTTCGTTACTGTACTCAAGCAGATTTTTCTGATATTTTTACTTTACTTTACTACTTATTTTTATGGCGACTTTTTACTTCTACTCCTTACATTTTTA